AAAAAAAAAGAAAGAAAGAAAAACCCAAGGACAATTAATTATCCATGTAAGGCACCTAGCACGGTGCCTGACATAAAATAGGCAATCAATACATGTCATTTCCCTTTGTAAGGCACAGGAGCTTACTATTATAAAATGTACTTTTCTTCTCTGGAAGGAACAGAACAGGACAGTATAACACAAAAGGCTGATCAGAAAACAAAAATAATGGTGTCTCTCACTTTTAGACATAATGTACAGAGATGTCTATGGAGGGCCTGGCAGACACCTGTGAACCCTCATTTCAGCTTGGAAAACACATCTGCAGGCATTCCTCCAGATGGAATGGGAGCTCTTTTAGGCAAGAACCTCACACTACTGGCCATTATATATGAAGGAACGGTTCTGCTGCAAAGGGATGACTCTTAGTTATGACAGTTGAACTAATGATCTCACACCACTTTTGATCCTTTTGTTCATTGACTCAGTCAACAAATATTGAGCACCTACTCTGTTAGGCACTGTTCTTTCATCTGGGAATACAAACCCTATCCCTATTCTCTCAGGGTGCTCTGAGTGGTGAAAGAGACATACATGAATCAAATCAGGCTACTCAGAGGGGAATGCATGTTCGATGAGGACACAGGTTCGTGGAGATCTAGAGGAGATGCATTCCAGATGACACAGGCAAGGGTCTCGAGGCAGAAATGAGTTTGGGGGTGACCTAAAAAGAGTACGCTGCCAGTGAAGCTGCAATTTAGAACCTTGCAGGCCATGGGGTTCTATCCTCAGGGTAGAGGCAATCACTGAGGGCTTTAAGGCTGGGGGAGGGGATGGGAGGGCATGCTTTGATTTAACGTAAAAGAGGGTTGTGCCAGCTGCCCTGCACAGAATGGACAGTGGGACAAGCAGAAAGCCAGCAGGGGTGTCTGTCGGGAGAAGGAACGGAGTCGAGATCGCCCACCCAAGCTCACTACTGTCAATGAGACAGGGTACTTCAAATCCTTCTCCATCTGGGTGAGCAGGGACATCTGGGCCAAAATATGTGAAAGATGATTAAACTCTGACACAAGAGAAAGGCTGCAGCAGATGGCCTGTAAGCCCACAGCAAAAAAAAAAAAGAAGAAAGAGAAGACATGATCCAAGCAATTCAGCAAAAATACAACTCCCCTCAAATTTTAGGACACATTACTCTTACAACTTACTATTTATCTTTATTATACTAACATGTATTGAGCGCTTATTTATATGCCCAGGGTAATGGGCTAAATTCATTTTCCCATTTAATCTCTCAAAACCTCTATCTGCCAGGCACAGTAGCTCACGCCTGTAATCCCAGCACTTTGGGAAGCCGAGGTGGGAGGAGTGCTTGAGCAGTTCAAGACCTCGTCTCTACCAAAAAAAAAAAATCAAAATATTAGCCAGGCATGATGGTGTGCACCTGTAGTCCCAGCTACTCAAGAGGCTGAGGTGGGAGGATTGCCTGAGCCCAGGAGGTTGAGACTGTGGTGAGCCATGATAGTGCCACGGTACTCCAGCCTGGACAACAGAGACTCAGACTCAAAAAAAAAAAAAAAAGCCAGGCACAGTAGTGTGTACCTGTAGTCCCAGCTACTTAGGAGGCTGAGGTGGTAGTGAGCCATGACAGTGTCACTGCCCTCCAGCCTGGGCAACTGAGACCTCCCTACATATCCCCCCCCCAAAAAAAAGCTCTATCTATTTATTCAACAAAAGACTGCCAGGTACTGTTTTAAGTAAGACAAAGCCCCTACCCTCGTGAAGCTTACACTCTAAAAGAAGAGCTAGAGCTTAAACAAAGAAGCACAGAATATCTGAGAAAGCATTGAAACTGTAAAGAAAACAAAGCAGAGGAAGAGGGTAAGGCAAGGAGGGATGGAAGGAAGAACAGAAAAGACTGCATCCAAAAGGAGCTAACTCTTGAGCAGGAACATAGATCATGAGACCAAGTCAGCCACCAGGAAATCTGGGGGAAGAGTATGCCACGCAGAATGAACAGCAAGTGCGGGGGCCTGCTGAGACAGAAGTGAGCATGGTGTACTTAAAGGCACAAAGACCACAGGGTCCAGAGCAGAGCGAGTAGGGAGTGGCAGGACATGAAGGTCAAAGGTAGGCAGGGACCAGACAGGCCACAGGAAGAGACATTTCCCTCTAAGCACTTAAGCAGAAGCTGCTACTGCTAGAAGGTTATGAACAGATTCCTTTGACCTCCGTGTGGAGAAAAAAATTCTAGAGGATCAAGAGTGAATCCAAGCATGAGGTGAGATGGTTGTAAAAAGAGATTGTGTTCAAGATGCATTTTGAAAGGGACATGAGGCAAGGTAGCCAGTACAGGTTAGGCAGACAGGTAAATTTCTTGGAGGCAGGTTTTAGAAAGTGTCCACACATCCTGATCAGCCCGGCAAGCTGAAGTGTGAATTCAATGTGGACTCCCAGCCCACCCCACCCCCTTAGCTCTCCAAAGGAAAACTCCATCAAGGTGGTTCCCCACCGGGAATCTAAAAGCAATAGAAATGATAAGACCACCTTCTAGTTCATGAACTTGTGTGTTGAAAAGTCTGGCAAGTCTCCCTGGAAAAGACCACCCCTCCACCCATCAGAGGTGAAGCAGACACCGCTGCCTACTCATTAACATATTAATCACTAAATGGGTATATCAGGCCCTATGTAAAAAGCAAAGGGCGTGGTTTTTCTTTCTCAAGAAACTTGCCTGTGACAAGTCTTTCTGCCATGAATCTTTCTTCTTCCTTCTCTTCTTTCACTAATAAACTTTAAAACTGGTGGCTGCTCTAAAATTCATTTTAGGGTTGAGTCAAAGAGTCCACAAGTTGTGCGCCACACCCCACTGGTATCAAGACTTAGCAGAAAATGGAGTGTGGTGGGGGAAGGGTAATGGGCTAAATTCAGCTAGTATTGCTGACTAGAGGGTTTTGCATGGCACACAAATCACCGGTACCAGTAACAAAAATTAGGAAAACCAGATGAGCAGATAGGAGGTGAATTTACGGAAATAGGTGCCGCTATGAACGTTCTCATTTTACAGGTGAATGAGCAGGCTAAGAGGTCAAATAACCTGTCCAAGCTCACCCAACTGGTGAGTAGAATCACTAAGTCCTTTCACAGATTTTTTGCCTTCACAGTACCCTCTCTTCATCATCTCCAATATACGGGTAAGAAACTGAGGCCCAGGAACGTGGAGGCCACACATAGCTAGGAAGTGCAGAGCCTAGACGTCAGATTTATCTACTAACATATATCTTTTCTTTTTTTCCCCCTCTTTTAATTTTTATTTAAAATTGTGGGGTACAATTCAGGGCTAGGTATACAAATATTCACTGTGCAGGTACCCTTATCGATGAGGTGTGCCCCCCTTCCCCAGGCAGATATCGACTACTGTCAGTCCCACCTCCTCCCTCCCCCAAACCCCTCCCCGCAGTTTCCTGCCACTTTCAATCCTTTTCTTATAGTAATACAGTGGTTGTTCAAAGTCCACTTATGAGTGAGAACATGCGATACTCAGCTCTTTGTTTCCGTGAGAGATCACTCAATATTATAAACTCTAATTCCATCCAGGTTGCTGCGAAGTTCAAGATTTTGTTCTTCTTTATGGCTGCGTAGTATTCCATTGTGTTTATGTACATTTTTTTAATCCAGTCCTCTTTTTATGGGCAGCACAGTTGGTTCCATGTTCTTGCTATTGTGAACAACGCTGTGATAAACATATGTGTGCAAGTGTCTTTTTCATAGTGACCTGAGCTCTTTTGGGATACATTTTCCTATAAAGGAGACAGGCTAGCAAACTGCTAAGGAAACCTAAGAGGCCAGGTAGAAAGGATCTGAGGTGAGAAAAAAACCACACCTTCAGATTCTCTTTCAACGTTTTGAAATTACCCAAGAAAGACTCCAGGAGGAATTCCCGAGGGCTGGGAGGCCCTGAGAGCACAGCACTGCGTCCGATGCAGGAAAGTGGTTTGCGTCCACTTCAGCATCACGATTACTAATTAAAATGCATATTCCCGGGCTCCAGCTTCCACATACTTTAGCAATCTATCATAGTGAGACCCAGAATCCGTTTTTGTTTTTTTTGTTTTTGAGTTGGAGTCCCACTGGGGCCAAGGCTGGAGTGCACTGCACACTCACGGCCACCCTAGTGTCCACGTGCTGGGTTCTGGCGATCCTTCCGCCTCTACCACGCGCGGCTAATTTTTTATTGTAAAGATGAGGTCTCACCAAGTTGCCCGGGCTGGTCTCAAACTCGCGGGCTCAGGCAATGCACTCGCCTCGGGTTCCCAAGGTGCTGGGATTACAGGCTGAGCCACCGAGCCCAGCCCAGAATCTGCATGTTTAAAAAGAGTGCTCCAAGCCAGGCGCGGAGGCTCACGTCTGTAATCCTAGCACTTTGGGAGGCCGAAGCGAGAGGATCGCCTGAGTCCCAGAGCTAGAGACCAGCCTGGGCAACATAGCGAGACACTGTCTCAATTATTTAAAATGTAAAAATAAGGCAAATGTAAATATAAATATGCAAAAATAAGACCAAAAAGTTTGAGAACCGTGGTACAGCTCGAACCTGGCGGCCACCACCTACACCAGCAGTCTGCGTCCCGCAAGTCACTTTACACCTCTGAGCCTCGGTTTTGCACAGCTACAATGAAGGAAGGGTGAGAAAGTCCGCAAAGGCACTCGACCGACCTCCCGGTGCTGGGACACTCTAACCAGCCAACGGTCAAAGCAGGCGGGAGCCGCGGTTCACCGTGGGATTCAGAGGGGGCCGAGGCATCCCGTGGAACACTGTGGGACACTGCGGGGCGGCCAGCCTCTCCCCGCCTCCAGCCTCGATTACGCCGACACCACATTTCACCCACGAACGCCCTCTTTGGACGTCTCTGGATACCGCCTGACGTAACCGTAATCACACCTCTCGCGTCTTGAAGCGTAGTGACGCATTTCCGGGCGTGCCTTCGCTTTACGGTTTGTGCGCTCTTCTGTCCAACCTGGAGGACGCTGGAGAGCGGTTTACGACAGCGCCGATCGTGTTTACGGCGCCGCCTGCTGCGCGCGCATGTTTCCTCCTTTCCCGGTTTCTCTGAGAGCTGCTGGTAACGCTGTCTCCAACCCTGACCATCCTCTGCCATCCCGGCCGGAGAAGGCCGCTGCAGGTGAGCGGTGTGTTTCGTAGGGTTCTGTGGCCCTCCAGAGCCGGCTCGGTCTAGGTCTAGTTTTCGGGGGCCTCCCAGAAGAAACTTCTGTTAGTCCCTTTCCGTTTTCGCTGTCCCTTCGCTGGGCAGGGCTGAAATCCGCCTTCGGGAGCCCCAAGCCCCGCACACTACAGGATGCGGGGCACGGCCTTGTGGGCGAGGCCCTGGCCCTAGGATCCGTTCAGGAGCCATGGGCTGCGTGGATTTGACTATGTCACTTAAGCCCAGCCGGGTCACGGAATCGTCTTTCCTAAGTGGCCGAAGACTTCCTGGATTTCTGAGTGGGGTGGTGGGGCTGCCAAACTGAGCGGTGTTCGGCCCCTGCTCTGAGGAGTTCGTAGTTCAAAGATTTCTTTCCTTTTTCTGTAAAACGGAAGTCTAGGATAGAGGAGTGGATTTAATTTCTGATCTGAAAACCACCACGCAGGGATTGATGGCGCACGACCTGGAGTGGCTGCAGCGATCTGTACAATATTGTGGCCTGTCAGCCACAGAGTCCCTTCTGGCTGCCCTGTTGGTGCCTCCCCATCCTGTCCCTGTGGCCAGTGCATCTGTCGCTTCCTTTTAGCTGAGTGGACCAGTTTCTGCTGCTGGTCCCATTCTGCTCACCTTTCTTTTTTTTAAACATGTAGTGAAGCCAGGGTACTTCCACCCCCTCCTTCTCCAGGGTGAGGATGTATATCAGGACTCCGGCCTGTTTTCTTCTTGAACTCCTGACAGCTTTTTAAAACAGTGTATCTTGAGGCATCGTTGTTGTGTCATAAGATAAAGTCTCAAACCCCAGATTTTTTTAGTCTGCTGTTCAGCTATCCTACACTGGAAGGAAAGCTGGACAGGTAGACAGCCCGGGAAATCGCATCTATTTTGGAATGAGGAGGTCAACTGCTTATTCAGTTGAGCTTCAGATATTGCCTCTGAGATGGAGGTGTGGGGGAGTTAGTGGTGTTAAAGTATCTACCACAGTGCCTGGTACATAGTAACTTATGTGAATGTGTGCCGTCCCTTTTCTTCTCTGTGCCTTTTGTAGCATAGCTTAAGTTCATATTTGGAGGATGAAACCCACAGGTTCATTCTCTGTTACTGTCACCCAAACATCATCTCTTCAGTCTGTCCATTATGGGGCAATGAGGAGAGTTTAGTAAGTTTCATGTACCTGTGCTCTCCGGCCTCCGGGAAATATCTGTGCAGTGAATTTTCTCCTGGGAAACTCACCTTCTGAGCCTTTTCAGAGGATTCACAATGGATGAAAACCGCATAGGTTTTTGATAAGAAGTGTCAGGTAATCATCTGCTACAGAGCCCTGGTTTTTAATTCCCAGGAGGAACTACAGCATTGCACAAGCCAGGTTGCCTGGTTCAAATTTTTCATCAACTAGCATTTCGACTTTGGGCAACATCTTCATTTGTCTGGGCCCCAGGTTTCTTATCTGGAAAGTGAGGATAGTACTGGCTTCTACCTCATGGGATCGTTGGCAGGATTTAATGACGTAACACGTGCTAAGCACTAAGAACAGTGCCTGGCAATGTCTGTGAACATCTGACTTATGGCCCTTTGGGGCTTAAGGTTCATGGGAACCCACCTTGGCCTTCTGGCAGTCCCTTTCCTGGCTTTAAGTTCACTCGCTCCACACATTGGTTTTGCGTTGATGACAGGAAGTCAGAAGAGTAAGAGAGGAAAATTGAATTTCAGGATATACATAAAGATTCTTTTCTCTCAACATTCTGTGCATAAACATATTTTGTTAAGTATAAATAGTAACTGTGGCATTTTTAGAAAGTATTCTTATGTTTGTTAATTTATAAGACTTTCACAGTGATCATGTGATGAAAATACAACAAAGATCTTATTTATTTACAGACGAAAAAGACTGAGGCTTAAGGAAGTTAAGTATTGTGTGTCTTGGTGAAGGTGTGTCTGAGAACCCAAACATGGATATAATACTTGAAAAAAATGTTACTATTTTTCATCAGATCTGTGAGATATTACCAAATTTTAGAAGCACCATTGTTTTATGAAACACTAAAAAGGATCCACCAGTTAAAATAAGACACCCCATCAAACGTCAGCAAGGTGCAGCCTCATTTCAAAAATGTTACAGTGAAGAAAGTGTGTCAAAATTAATGAAGTACGGTTTTGTTAGCAGTCTTCTGAGTTTTAAGTACATATTCACAGTAGTGTGTGTGTGCGCACGCACGTGCAAAATAATTATTTTTTAAAACATAGAGCCCTTCTCCAATTGCTTGACAAGGCACTTTTAGGCATAAAATATTTACAAGAAAACGCTAAGTTGAGTTCCATTTTGCCTGCCGCTTTTTGTACTTGGAGGCCCTTCTTCATGCATCTACTCACGTTATTTATGTATTTTTAAGGTTTTGGAAGATGGCAAAGTTTATGACACCCGTGATCCAGGATAACCCCTCAGGTTGGGGTCCCTGTGCGGTGCCTGAGCAGTTCCGGGATATGCCCTACCAGCCATTCAGCAAAGGAGATCGTCTCGGAAAGGTACTTGTCTGTCAGCAGAGTCTGAATCCTTACAGCTGTGGCTGCTACTCTCCACAAGGCCGTTTCCATTTTGTTCTCTCAAAAGCTTGCCTCCTGAATTCCTCTTAGGGGAGCCAGCAGAGCAAGGTTATAGTCTCTGGATGTAGGCATAGGACAGCAGGGCACTTACAAAGGCCCGTGAGCCTGTTCTTCTGATACTTTCGCACACTGTGTCCTCTCCCTTTCAGGGGTTTCTAGATCAGCAGAAACTTGCTGGTTGATGGGTGCGTTCTCTGTCTTCCCTTGTACTATAGGTTGCAGACTGGACAGGAGCCACATACCAGGATAAGAGGTACACAAGTAAGTGTTCTTCAACTGACTGCCCCAGTCAGGGCTTTGGGAGAGTTGTTGCTTTTTCTAGTAACATCTGTCTGAATGTATTTTAGAATAGGAAGGAATTCCTAACAATAATTCATACTTTTTAGAATTGTAATTTTTACTTTAGACACTAGCTACAGTTTTTTAAATAAACTGAAAGACCATTTTTTGAAGAGGTTTGTTATAGTGAGGGTTTTCCTTCACTTTTGGGTGAGCCACAGATCCTTTTAAAAATCTGTTCAATGCATTACCATTTTCCATTTTACTGCCTGGGATTTACCAGACTTTTGGATCCAGTCACTGAACTCAAACCCTGGTTTTAAGATCCTGATATAGTAAGAAGGCTTTTCCTCTGTTCCAGGTGAGATAGTTGGAAGTAGCTGCTTAGAGTACTAAGTTGAGGTGTCTGAGACTGAGGTTGGCAAGACGGTACCTCATGATCCACTGGACATGTCTGCCTTGGGCACCAGTTATTGAAAATGGTGGTACTTGTGCCCCATGCATACTTCTCCTGTTAAATTAAGTCTTGGCTCAGCTTTTTACATGGTAAGACAGTGAAAAATGAGTTAGCTCAAGTCCCCCAGACTGTCTTGGCTTAGAAAGTTCGTTGGACCAGAGCTCTGCAAACTTGAATGTGCACTTGAGTCACCTGGGGATCTTGTAAAATGCCAGTTCTGGTTAGTGGGCTGTGAGTCTGTATGTCTAGACAAACTTCTGGCCCATACTATAGGCTCCGGGACCAAATGGCAAGGCTCTAGACTAGTATATATTTGTAAAGTCTGTAGGTGGTGGTTATTACATTGTCCCCTTTGCCTCCAGATAAGTACTCCTCTCAGTTCGGTGGTGGCAGTCAGTATGCTTATTTCCATGAGGAGGATGAAAGTAGCTTCCAATTGGTGGATACAGCACGCACACAGAAGACTGCCTACCAGCGGAACCGAATGAGATTTGCACAGGTAGGCCAAGACCCAGCAAGCTGACTGTCCTGGGGCTGTTACTGTCAACTGTCACCTGATGCTAAAAGCTGCTACCTTGTGAACGTTAATGAGAAAGGACAGCATGTTATAGGTTTTCTAGTGAATGCCAGGATGCTGTTCAGTGACAAATTGTGCAAAAGTAAACTTGTACTAGATTCATTTAAATAGTTTAGATTTCTGTTCACCAATAGCTAGGACATCATACTTATGTGCAGAGAACAGACGTTTGTGCATTCTGGCTGGGCATGGTGGCTCAGCCTGTAATCCTGGCACTTTGAGAGGCTGAAGCGAGAGGATTGCCTGATCCTGGGGGTTTGAGAACAGCCTGGGCAATTTGGTGAGACCTCGTGTCTACAGTAAATCACAAAAAAAACTAGCCAGGTGTGATGGCATGCGTCTATAGTTCCAGCTACTTGGAAGGCTGAGGCAGAAGGATCACCTGAGCCTAGCAGGTTGAGGTTGTGATGGCCGTGAGTGTGCTGCTGCACTCCAGCCTGGGCAGCAATGTGAGACTTCGACTCAAAAAAAAAGGTGCATTCTCTGAGTCTGTACCTGACATAATTGCTCTGTGCAGACTTTATTAAGTAGATGGTCCAGTCAGGCTGCATAATCATAAAGAGGAAAACTCAGCAACTGTTATTTAAAAACCCAGTAAACTTTAATGAAATATATATTGTGGGACTATGTCTAAGCTAGTTCCAAATACCTCCCCCACTAAAACAGCCAGTCTGTTGATGCTGTAAAGTAAAACCACACAGTAAGGTGTGAAGCTTGAGAGTTTACATCCTGTACTTACCCTAAAGGCCTCTCACTAGCCCAAGAGTTTAAAATGGCTGTTTTGTCCTGATTTCCAGCGGAACCTCCGCAGAGACAAAGATCGACGGAACATGTTGCAGTTCAACCTGCAGATCCTGCCTAAGAGTGCCAAGCAAAAAGAGAGGTGAGATTCCCCTCCTGTCAGAATAGGGTACCCTTCCCAGACTGGCTATACTTGGAAACCATGGAGCTCAAGCAGGAGGATGGCTGTCTTCTCTACCATGACAAAACAACTTCCTAAAACCAGTTAAATCACTTTTTAGCTTGCCATTCTTCAAGAGCCAGTTCACAGCAGACAGCGTGGGCAGGAATCTTAACTCCTTGTAGTGGGCAGGCACATTGAAGGGAAACAAAGGCAAGATGGGTAAGAAGAGACTTTGGTGCTCGCCTGGACTTAGTTCTGCTGTGGCACAACTCCAAGAAGTCTCGTTTGTACTATGTTCTCTGACCCCCTGGAGCGTAGTACAGCAGCTACTACCCCCCAGGTTGGGGCTGCCTATGGGTGGTCACCATAGAGGGACTCCCACTCGATGTGTGGGAGAAGTATGCCTTTTCTAGCATTTCAATTCTGTATCCTTTTGGTCTATTCCTTTCTATAAGTCCCCACATTTCATCGTTCAGAGAGGTTGGTGATAATATTGAAGTTTAGTTGAAGAGAATGGCAACTTCTGCCTTCTGGAGGAGCCAATAACTTAGAGATCTGCACTGAAATCAGATTATTTCTGTCTTTTCAGAGAACGCATACGACTGCAAAAAAAATTCCAGAAACAATTCGGGGTGAGGCAGAAATGGGATCAAAAATCACAGGTAGTGTATTTATACCAGAACTCTACATGGGAATTTGTTTTTTTTGTTGTTGTTGTTGTTGCTGTTTGTCTTTATAGTGACTTCGTTGAGATATAATTTACATGCTTACACAATTTAGTGGTTTTTAATGTAGTCACAGAGTCGTACAACTATTATTTGAAGTCAATTTTAGACCATGTTCATCACCATAAAAAGACCTTGTATGTGTCCTTTAGCAAGCATTCTGTCTTAGTCCATTTTCTGTTGCTGTAACAGAATGCCTGAGATTGGGTATAGCATAAAGGAAGTGCTTTATTTAGCTCACAGTTCTAGAGACTGAGTAGTCCAAGATCGGGCAACAGCATCTGGTGAGGGCCTTGTGCTTCTTCATAGTATGGCAAGAAAACAGAAGGGGGAAGAGGGCAAGAGAAAAAGGTGGGGCTGAGATTTTGTGGTAGCTAACTCATTCCTCACAGTAAGGCATGAATCCCTCTTAATTACCTAATCTCCTCATAAAGGCCCCACCTGCCAACACCACCTCATGGCAATCAGATTTCAACATGACCTCCAGGGGACACACCAGAACCATAGTATCCCCCCATTCCTCCCAGCCCTATATAAATTAGTCCTATACTAATTTATTTTCTGTCTCTATGGATTTTCCTGTTCTAGACATTTCACATAAATGGATTCTTTTGTGACTGGCTACTTTTATTTAGCATGATGTTTTCAAGGTTCATCCATATTGTGGTGTGTATTGTACAGTTGTCCCTCAGTATATGCAAGGGGCCTGGTTGCAGGACCCCCAAGTATAGTATAACAAAATCGGTACATGCTCAAGTCCTGCAGTTGGCCCTGTGGGACCTGCATATATGAAAAGTCAGCCCTCTATATACTCAGGTTTTACATCCCAAGAATACTATATTTTCCATCTGGTTGAAAAAAATCTGCATGTAAGCAGACCTATGTAGTTGACTGTACTCGTTTCTTTTTATTGCCAAATAGTATTCCTTTGTATGGATACACCACATTTTATTTAGCCCTTTACCCATTGATGGGCATTTGAGTTTTCACTTTTTGACTATAACGAATAATGCTGCTGTGAATATCCATGTGCAGGTGTTTGTGTGGGCATTCTGAGAATAGTAGACGTGTAAGCAAAAGTGAAGTTTCAGTTATGGCAGTTAAGTTTTGCTGGATGTGACACTTGCTGCATCAGGACTAATTAATACCCTAAGAGGTGTACAAAGGGACAGCTTTGTGCTCCCCAAGTGACATCATAACCTTAGGGCAGAACCCCATTTGTTGCTGAACTCAATCTCTTCAGGCTTCTTCTAGACTATAAGCTCCTAGGAGTAGGGATTCTATCTCATATAATATCACATTGTATTGACTAAAAGCCCTTTATATTGCTAGCTTGTCTTGTGCTTCTGTTTTGTGTAGGCTGTAGTTGTTTTCATTCCATTGGTTTTCCATTACAGAAGCCCCGAGACTCTTCCGTTGAAGTTCGTAGTGACTGGGAAGTGAAAGAGGAGATGGACTTTCCTCAGTTGATGAAGATGCGCTACTTGGAAGTATCGGAGCCACAGGATATGTAAGTAGCATCTGTCACACTTTCCACCATGCTCTCCTGTGGGTGGGCCAGCTGGTTGTGCATATTTTCTTAAGCCCCAGAGTTTCCAAAAAGGCATTGAAGCCGCTTACTCAAAAGACTTTGCATAAGATTAATAGGAGTGCTTTTAAAAATCAAGACCAAGGGAGAAAACAAAGAAGTCTACTGATACTAAATTGCAAACTTCTTTTAACTTCTAGCATTCTGAGCAAAGGAGAAATTAAGTTGCATAGCTCTTGGTGGAAAGGGAAAACAAAAGCAGAAAGAAGTGTGCTGATATTAAACTCCACAGATTTCTTTCAATTTCCTGGCATCCTGAGCAGAAGAGCAGTAAGATTAAGTTGTAAGGCTATTTTGACAGAAAGAGAAGCACTGCACTTCTAAAAGGGAATCTTGGCTTCTGCTGGCCTTTCAGAGAGCTTTGTACCTCAGGGCAAGTTAAATGGAACTAACTTGGTGGGGAACCAGAGCGCCAAGCCAGAAGTCAGCCCACGTAGGTGCCTCTGTACTGGTCGCCTTGCCCTGTCTTGGGCCTCAGTCACCCTGCCTTTTCAGTGGGAGGTTGGGCTGATGGGTGTGTTCACTTAGGGCTGTGACGCTGCATCAGGAGCTAAGAGGATGGGGAGCTGCGCAAGCACTGAGCATTCATCCCCCTGCCCTAGTGAGACTCTCCCATCTCTTGATGTGTTAGACTTCTGGGTAATACTTCTAACTCTGTGGCTTAAAAGGAAGGGGGGGGACATCTTCTCCCTCACTCGACATGTCTTGCTGCTCTCCCGTCAGTGAGTGCTGTGGGGCCCTAGAATATTATGACAAAGCCTTTGACCGCATCACCACGAGGAGTGAGAAGCCACTGCGGAGCATCAAGCGCATCTTCCACACTGTCACCACCACCGACGACCCTGTCATCCGAAAGGTGTGCGCCCCCTTCTGCCCCTCTCACCTGTTGGGAATGCTGCCAGCCTCTACAGCTGAGGCTGCAGAAAGAACAGGTGATGCAGGAGTATGTATGTATTGTTGGGGCGCTTAGCTGGACTCTGCTGAGTCAGACTTAGGATGAGAGGAAAATAAAGGCTCTTTGCTATGTAGACCAGAAACATTGGTGTGGAGCAGAGCTGGGTTCGAATGCCAGTTCTGCCCTGCTTCCTAGCTTCATCTCCCTGAAGGCTTAGTCTTCTTTTGTGCAGAAGGGAGTAAATGTGCATGGCCTTTGCCTCTGGGGTAAGGGTGAGCATTGCAAAGCACTAGGCTGGAATCTAGCGAGTGTCAGTGGGCTTCAGTGCCACCGTAGCCCGGGGCAGTGACTCTGTCAACAGAAGTTCGCTGGCTGATTGGCCACAGCCTTCCCGGGTAATAAGGGAGGCATGGGTGTGTGAGAGGCCTCCTTATTCCTAAGATTTCTGTGGCCAGCAAAGGAGTTCTTTCCAACCCATGACAGTTAGACCCAAGAGGCCTGCAATCCTTCTCTCATTCTTTTGTTCTCTTTGCAGTTGGCAAAAACTCAGGGGAATGTGTTTGCCACTGATGCCATCCTGGCCACACTGATGAGCTGTACGCGCTCAGTGTATTCCTGGGATATTGTCGTCCAGAGAGTCGGTTCCAAGCTCTTCTTTGACAAGAGAGACAACTCTGACTTTGGTAAAAAGCCTATCTGGGGAGCAACTCAACGGTCTTGGGTATTTTTGTTCAAAACAATTCCCTGATGCTAGAGAATGGGTACAAAGTGGTCTATCTTCCCTGAGGGTGTTGACAGCAGTGTGTGAGCCTCAGCCTGTCACCATAGTACCTCCTGAAGGCATCCGCTTTCGGGTCCTCGCAGCTCCCTAATAGTATTCTTCCATTTCCCTTCTTCTGCCATTTCTCATACCATCTTTAGTGTTTGCTTAATGTTTTCCTTTAAATTGATACCTGTTTCTGGCCAGGCTCGGTGGTTCAAGCCTATAATCCCAGCACTTTGGGAGGCCGAAGCAAGAGGATTGCCTGAGCCCGTGGGTTCAAAACCAGCCCAGGGAACTTGGCGAGACCTCGTCTCTACAATAAATAAAAAATTAGCCGGGTGTGGTATCATATACCTATAGTTCCCGCTACTTGGAAGGCTGAGGTGGAAAGATTGCCTGAGCCCAGCAGGTCGAGGCTGTGGTGGCCGTGAGCGTGCCACTGCACTCCAGCCTGGGCGACAGAGTGGGACTCCAACTCTAAGTAAATAAATAGATATGATGCCTTTTTTTTTCCTTCAGTGAATTTATAAAAACAAATCCACATTCTTTATGCCGTATACAAAGGGTGGACCCAAAAGACTTCGAATTTATTTATAAAAAGTTGTATATTACTGCCTATTTAGACTTCATCACCTTCAAAATACTGTCCATTTGACATAGTGTATCTGGCCGCTTTTTCCACTGCTCAGAATGGTTTTTAAACTCGTCTATTTTGATGCCTTTTAGCTCTTCTGTTTTTGGTTTTGCCTCTTCTACATCGGCAAAATACTTCCTTTTGAGGACTTTTTCTTTCCAGGTAAACAAAAAAGTCACTCAGGGTGAGATCAGGTGAATAAGGGGGATAGGGCATAGGAGTCAAAAGCTGCTGAACGCTCAGCACAGTGTGGGTGAGTGTACTTGTAAATCACCCATCATGAGGTGGGCAAATGTGTTGAAAGAATCTCCAAGAAAATATTCACTGAAGTCGAACATAGCCTCTCACAACAATGCTAGCTGGTACACTGTTGCCAATGGGTTTCTGGAACACTAACGCTAGCAGGGGAAGCATGTACTACAAGGGACCCACCCTGTAAAAAATAATTTCATTTTTCGCGGGGAGTTCCCCCCTCAGATGTGTATATACGCACACCTTAAATGAAAACCAGGTAACTCAAAAAATAATAGCAGTGAAAACAAAACGATATAATTATACTCTGAGCTCAAAGCCTGAGGTTTGTATTAAAAACCTAACTAAATCAGCTGGGCTTGGTGGCTCAGCCTGTAATCCTGCACCTTTGGGAGGCTGAGGTGAGTGGATTGCCTGAACCCGCGGGTTCAAGACCCACCTGGGCAAGTTGGTGAGACCTCATCTCTACAATAAATCAAAAATTAGCCGGGTGTGGTAGCGCACACCTGTAGTTCCAGCTATTTGGAAGGCTGAGGAGGAAGGATCGCCGGAACCCAGCACGTCGAGGCTACAGTGGCCAGGAGCGGCCACTGCACTCCAATCTGGGCAACAGTGAGACTTCAACTCAAAAAAAAAAAAAAAAATCATTGCACATTTCCATCTGAAACTTGAAAAGGGATAGCTTTCTTACTGTGACTGAATGTAATATTAGATAAGATCTAAGGTTAGCCAGGAGCACCCTTCTCCCTCACTTTTGCTCCTCTCGATGTGTCCCACACTCAGGAAACACACTGGGAGATGGCAGGTCTTTGAAGCAAGGGCCGGTGTTATTTGCATCTCCATACCGCCCCACAGTGCCATGCACGTTGTCAGTGACTGTTGCACAGGTGAGTAACCATGCCATTGCTTTTACAGACCTCCTGACAGTGAGTGAGACTGCCAACGAGCCCCCTCAGGATGAAGGTAATTCCTTCAACTCACCCCGCAACCTGGCCATGGAAGCAACTTACATCAACCACAATTTCTCCCAGCAGTGCTTGAGAATGGTGAGGAACAAGAGTGGGCGTTGACTCATTCTTATCTAGCCCACTACTGTTTATTAAGTGTCTGCTTTGTGGTAGGCTCTGGAGTTGTGGACTCACGCTGGATAGGTGTTATCCCTACCTGTAGCAGAGGAGTTACAGGTGTGGGCTTTGGGGGTCAGGCTGCCTGAGTTCCCACTCTTACAGAGCCTCCATACGGTGGAGGAGATACAGTGAACACTAAATAAATGTGTTATGTCAGAAGGTGACATGTGCTGTGGCAAAAGCTAAGCAGGGGAGTGGATGATTGCTAACTTGTTAGATTCATAGGGTGCTAACAGTCGGGAGGGGTAAAGTGGGCATGAAACAACGTGTTCAGAGCCTCCTGGGGGGCCACAGAAACCTGGCCAGAGCTGTAACTAAGCGGAGGTGCTGGGGGTAGTGGATTGGCCTTGACAACAAGACTAGCACTGTCTTGTGACACCGTTGTCATTTTTGCAGGGGAAGGAGAGATACAACTTCCCCAACCCAAACCCGTTTGTGGAGGATGACATGGACAAAAATGAAATTGCCTCTGTTGCATACCGGTACGTCACTTCTCTGGGGGCTGTTGTGACCAGGTCCTGCCATATGGGAGCTCAAGTGACCATGTGGGTTTCTTCTTCACCATAGTTACCGCAGGTGGAAGCTTGGAGATGACATTGACCTCATTGTCCGCTGTGAGCATGATGGTGTCATGACTGGAGCCAACGGGGAAGTGTCCTTCATCAACATCAAGACCCTCAATGAGTGGGATTCCAGGGTGAGGCCCTCCGTCACCCTCCTCGTGGCACTGTGCCAGTGTTCCCTCTATTGCCCTTTGTCATGGGCTAGCTTATGTGTGCTGTTTCTTTTCCCTTTTCATGACTTGCAGAGCCACTAGGTTTCTTTTCTTGTCTTGTAACTTTTTTTCTCTGCTTAGTTCCTTTCTGAGAAGGAGCTTGAGTGTGTGTGTAGAACTGTGTTAAGTTTTAGGAACTTTTCTGCTTATGTTGCACATAAGCACCAGTAACTCCCTTCTTCCAGTACTTTCTCCCTCTCTATTCCATTCTGCCTCCTGTTGGCTTCTGCTCTCTGCAAGTATCTGATCTCCATCTCTCCTTATTACCTGGGTTGGCAGTCTTCCATGAGTCCGACTCTTTTTTGTCTTCTTTTATTTACTGAGCTACTGCCTTCTCTTCAATCTTTTGATTCCTTTTTTCCAACGCCTTCACTTATTGAACTCAAAGACCTTTAGACCAAGCTCAGAATTGGCACTTCAGAGGCACCTTGAAAGAAACACACTTCCTTCATGCTTCCTTCTCTTTCCATCCTCCTTCATGCTGGTCCTCCGTGATGATGGGGCAACTGTTCTTTCTCAAGCTCCCAGGCCTATGTGCTGCACTGAAGTGGGTGGGAGTGCTCCTGGATGCCACTGTGCAGAATAGAGGGTACTTTCCCAGGAGGGGTGGCTCCAAGGCCAGGCCTGTGTCGGCCGAGTTTCAGGTGTAGTACCGGGGCCATTTGCCCACCAGCCCTGATGCTAGGGGAGCAGAGTGGACTGCTCCTGGCCTCACCCTCAGGGACTCCTGCCCCCATCACCTGCTAAAGGGATACACTGGAAGGTTTGCTGTGGCCTTGGCTCTGGGCCAGTGGCCTTTTCTTGGCCCTTCCACTGTGGGCCCCTGGACACTCCTCAGTGCTGCCGTCTTACTCTGGTTTCTCCACTCCCTTCACAGGTTGTCATGCTGGCTCCCCTCCTTTTGACCCCCTCCCTGGAGCCTGCTTTTAGAGTTAGTCCCCTACATGGCTCTTTTTGCCATAAGTACTTCTTCATACAGCTTTGTACTAGTACTAATTAACAGAAGCTCAGTGACTAAAACAACACTTGTGTATTAGCTCATAGCTTTGTAGGTCAGAAGTCCAGCACATTGTGGCTTGGCTCTCTTCAGAAGTTAAGGGTCAGGAAAGCTTGAGTTCTCTTCTGGAGGTTCTAGAAGAAAATCCACTTCTAAACTCATTCTAGTTGTTGGCAGAGTTCAGTTTCTTGCAGTTGTATGATTGAGGTTCCTGCTCCCTTGCCAGCTGTCCGCTTCTCCCAGCTTTTGTAGACCTCCCACATTCCTTGACATATGTCTTTCCTCCCCCCAAACCCCCATCCCCAAGCTAGTAGAGGTACAGCAGATATTTCTTACGCTTCACATCTCAAACTTGCTCTGTCTCTGACCTCTACACTTAAGGTACTACCCCTCAGGTAGTTCTTAAGGTTAACAGATGTGGGGCCTGACTTCCATCTGCAAACCTCTTCTGACATACAAGGTAGTATAATCATGGAGGTGATAGTTTATCATAGTCACAGGTTCTGCCACAGTTGGGGGAAGGAGATTCTCCAAGGGTGGGGTCATTGGAGGTCATCTTAGAATTCTACCTACCCCAGCCTCAGCCATGACCTCTTTGTCTTTTTCCTACTTACTGAAGTTCAGAGCCTCCAGCATCTTTGATACCTCCTTTAAACTCTTCTGTTTTTTTGTTGAGTACAGTCTGTCTTCTGACTTAATTCTGGATTTCCCTGACATCATCACTCTAGTTCAGGACTCTCTTCATCATGCCTTTTGTTTTGCATTTATCTCCAACTATTCCCTCTGTCTCCACCCCACCCCAAATTCGATTTCTCTCTGCCAATCAATTATCTAAAACACTGTTTCCATTATGCAGTGCATAATTGGTAAAAGGGTTCTTAAAATGTCACAGTAAACCAGGTGCAGTATCTCATGCCTTATAGTCCCAGCTAGGGTGGAAGGATCACTTGTGCCCAGCCTGGGCAACATAGCAAGACCTCATGTCAAAAAAAATTAAAATGCCACAACAAATTCACAAGAGTACTTCAGGACATTTTAAATTTTTTATGGAATCACAGAAACATCTGTTAGAATACTACTACATGGTTTGAACCTAACTACTTTATAAAAGGAATTCTTAAGCATTTCGTTTGGCCCAGAGTTGCTGTGGATTAGGAAAGTTTGTGAGCCTCTGCCATGTGACCCTCAGCCAGTCACTTCACTGTAGGTCCAACTTCCCAGGTGTGTAAATGAGATGATTAGAAAATATTATCTCTCCGGGTTTCCTTTCTGGGTGTGTGTGTGTGCATGCGTGTGCACGCGTACACACAATATCAGACTCTGGTTCCTCACCCTCTGCGGCCCTGGCTTCCCACCCACAGCTGCTTCGGCTGTCTGTCCCATCCGACCATGCCTCTCAGAGGAGATCTGTCTCCACCTGCAGTTTTTGCTGGTGTTCTCCAGTTGACTACCTGCTGCACATCCTCTCTGAGGCCCTGTCCTTGCCACACAGCCCACGATGAATACTTGCTGTCTGTGTGGCACTTTTTTCTTTTTTTTTTTTTCTTTCTTGAGTCGGAGTCTCACTCTTTTCGCCCAGGCTGGAGTGCAGTGGTACACTCACAGCCACTGCAGCCTCGACCTGCTGGGTTCAGGTGATCCACTTCAGCCTTCCACATAGCTGGAACTACAGGTGCACACCACCATACCTGGCTAATTTTTTTATTTATTGTAGAGACAAGGTCTTGCCATGTTGCCCAGGCTGATCTTGAACCCTGGACTCAGGCAATCCTCTCACCTCAGCCTCCCAAAGTGCTGGGATTACAGGCATGAGGCACTGTGCCCAGCTATAGCACTTCTAACGTGTGTGGTGTATGTGTCCATCCATCCCTGCCTGGATGAGCTCTCAGAAGAGAGGAATTAGAAGTTGTTGGGTGTCTGCTGTGTGGCAGACTGTGCAAGGACAGGGATCGTGTCTTTGACTCTTAAATGATAGCATCTGATTCAGTGCATATTTAGCCACTTTCTAGTCCGGCATACCAGGCAGTTCCCTCTGTGCCACAGGAGGTCCCAGTGCCTCAGGCATGAGGAGCTTGTCTCAACTTCTATAACTGGGACGTTCCTCCTGCAGCACTGTAATGGTGTTGACTGGCGTCAGAAGCTGGACTCACAGCGAGGGGCTGTCATTGCCACTGAGCTGAAGAACAACAGTTACAAGCTGGCCCGGTGGACCTGCTGTGCTTTGCTGGCCGGATCTGAGTACCTCAAGCTTGGGTGAGGTTCCTCTCCACTTGCTGGGACCTGATATCCTGAAAGGGGTCTGGGTAGGGAAGTGAAAGCTTGTCTTTGCCCCTTTACCTTGGGACTAGCATCGGTCCAGTTGTTACCATTTGACATGTCTTAACCCCAAGTGTTGCTGTCTGTGTGCTGCCCTGTTCCACCCACTGATGTCCCACCTCCCTCACCCCTCGCTAGTTACGTGTCTCGGTACCATGTGAAAGACTCCTCACGCCACGTCATCCTGGGCACCCAGCAGTTCAAGCCCAATGAGTTTGCCAGCCAGATCAACCTAAGTGTAGAGAACGCCTGGGGCATTCTGCGCTGTGTTATCGACATCTGTATGAAGCTGGAGGAGGGCAAATACCTCATCCTCAAGGACCCCAACAAACAGGTCATCCGCGTCTACAGCCTTCCTGATGGCACCTTCAGCTCTGATGAAGATGATGAGGAAGAAGAGGAGGAGGAGGAGGAGGAAGAAGGTGTGTAGTACCCCTCTTTCTTAAAAGCTAGGGTGATCTGTGGCCTGAGAGGGAGCAAGTTCCATATTCACTGTCATCTTTGATCTTGAGCAAACTTTCTCAGAGTTTCCTGAGACTTAACTTTGGAGGAGCTTTCTTTGGCTCCAAGAGTTTCTTGTAGACCTTTTAGATCACATGAAGGGGTTGGAGAGGACAGTGCTCTTTTAGAGAAGTATCTAGAGAAAGGCAGTGGAAGTCTTTGATGGTAGTCTGTGGTGTAAAGGCAAAAGGTCTGCTCCAGGTGAGTTTTACAGCCTGCAAGCTGGCACTCCTGCTTCACCAGCTGGTGGCTGGAGGAAGTGTCCCATGAGGATCTGAGTGGAGATGTTGAAAACCCACAAGCAGTCCGGCAGAGGTTCAGAAAGGCATGTGGACACCACATCACACAGCATGGTTCATTTCTCTTAACATTTTTTGTCTTTCAGAGGAAGAAACTTAGACATTGATGTGGAGGTGAAATTTGCAGTTCCACTGAGCCTGGAAGGGCCTTTGATTCCTGGCTCTTGCTCTCACACGTTTGACAAATGGAATAAAGTATGCACCTGTTTGGTCTCTTTCCTTCATTGTGTGCCTGTATTAACGATTTACAGCCCTTCTTTTTTTTTTTTTCCCCCTAAGTCAGTCCCACTCTTTTGCTCAGACTGGAGTGAAGTAGCACACTCACGGCCACCGCAGTCTCAACCTGCTGAGCCCAGGCGATCCCGCTGGATCTGCAGCCCTTTCTTCTAAAAGCCCTTAGGAGAGGGAGGATGAGATTCAGTGACTTCAGACTGGATTTATAATCTGGGTTCCATCATTTTTCTTGAGCACTGTTAGTCTTACATTCCTTTCAGAGGGTGAATGCCCTTGATGTTTGTGTTCTTGGAACCTCTTAAAATTCTCCTTCCAGTGTGGTATCAGTTGTGGGTTACCTTAGGGAGGTCTCTAAGATGTCCATTTCTACAATCATTAGTGACTGTAGAGAGCTGTCTCTGGGAAACATTGGGACCAAAAGCACTAGTGAGACATGAAGTGGGGTGTGAGGAAGACTAAGAAGATACTGATGGATGGTCCGCTGTGGTGATGGTAAAGGTCTGTAAATTGTTTTCAAGCTTGGCTTGGGCTGGTTTTTAAGTGGACACTTTGTGAAGGAATTACCCTGACAGGTAGTAACACTGAGCTTTCTTTATATCTGAGCCTCATATAGACTCATACCTGCAGGAGTCAGGCCATTGTATAGATGAGGAAACAGACTCAGCTTTTGAGTGGCATTCCTAAAGTTAAAACGTTTTACAGTAGCATAAAACTGAAAGGGTACAATTTTAATCAGAAGAATTGGGCCTCAGAAAGTAAGCAAAAGTTTACTGAACTCTTGTCAGGTCCTGGGGAGAGCAGAAAATACATTTTTTCAGTTTTCAGTAGGGTGGATCTTGTGACAAAAGTAATTTAAAAATTAGGAAGCTTTAAAAATGCATAAGGAAACATTTGTAAAAAGCAAAGAATCTTTTTAAAATTAGATTTTGTGTTTAAATTATGCATTGAAGTGATGTAACAGGTGGGGGGGGGTTCAAGGTTAGACTAGTAGTCACCAGATTGCTTCTTATAAACCCTTGGCCCAATCCAGCAGGGTTAGCTGGAGCAAGTGGAAGAGGTTTGTGGGGTCCTTCTCTAAAAGTTTTGCATCAGCTTTTTCGTGTGCACAGGGCTGCCAAGGCGGTTGCTGAAAGCAAGCCTGCACTCAACCCCAATAGTAAGCTGTTACCTACACCCAGCTTCAGCCTGGGCTCAGGGCCAGGCCATATTTGCCCATTCTAATGCCCCATCACTGTCTTCACCAGATAAGACCAGCAACTGTTTTAGGTTCTTAATTGTTCATCAGTACCCAGTCTCATCTTCACAACCACTAGAAATAGTCCTAATGCGTGGAGAGGTGTTTTTCCTAGCCTGCCTGTTTCTAATGTTTATTCAACAAATGCTTACCGAGGAACTTCTGCATGCCAGTTACTGGATAGTTTCTGTTCCAATTGGGTTTGTCTCTAATGTTGAGACAGGCTGTGAAGAAAATAGATAAATCGCATTCCTTAGTGGGTACTTTGGCCTGAAGGCAGGGAAGTATTAGGGTCCTCAGCGAATGAAAAGAAGCTCCAGTCATGCAAAGCTGCAAGATCGCAGGGTTCTTTCCCGGCAAGAAGTCTCGGCCCCGTTCTACTGGACTGCCTAGGGCCCTTTGAAGGATCCTAGACTTCCCTCATCTGTATTCTGCTCCCGTAGATCTCACGCAGGGACCGTGTACCACCCCTGGAAAGCCGACGTTGATCATTCAGTTCCAAGCTCCACAGCTTCACTGTGATCTTAGGCATGTCGCTTCACCTCACGTCTCCCTTTGGCCAGTTACCAAATGTTGGAAACAATCACTTGCCCCCTCTGGTCGGTGGAAGGTCAAGTCAGTCGTGTGTGTTACTTAGTACACAGTCACCACAGCACACACTTGTTAACAGGTGTAGCATTCTGGCCTCACCACCCGATTTCCAGTCCCACACTGAGTAGGTCAAATTGTTTTAGTCTTTGGCTACATTAATGGGGGAATATAAGAGCAGGAATTCTCTCCTAAAGTCATCTTCTTCTTCCCTCATATGCGGAAAGGCACAGCTTAGAAGGGATCAGCGCTCCATCCCGGGTCTCCAGCCCCTCCACCCGCGGTGGGTCGCACCATCCCCAGGGGCTTCTGCCCGCCCGGGAGCAGCGCGCGCCGCACGTGCCCGCCTCTCCCGGAAAGGATCCAGCCGCCCGCAGGCAGGTCCCGGCGTGCCGCGCGCCACGCACGTGACCGCGGCCCCTGCCATTGGCCCAGGCGGCAGGGGGCGGGGCCGCCTCGGCGCGAGCGGGCCTCACTCGACCGCGCGCCGCCGTCGGAAAGGCGGGGAGGTTCGCGCTCCGCCGGAGGGTCGGCCGGCTGCAGGGGAGCAGGAGCTGCGGGCGTGGGCAGCGCGCAGGCGCGGGCCACCGGCTCCCGGGCGCTTTGGCGGGAGGGCGGCAGGTGTGCCGGGCGTCCCTGTCACGTGGCCCAAGAGGCTGGGTCGCGCGGAACCTGGCAGGGGCGGGGCCGTGAAGGCCACACCCCCTGCAGGTTCCGTCCCGAGAGCTGGGCGTGGCCAAAGAGAATTGTGCCTCTGGTGGGTCTAGCCCGGGAGGACGCCAGAGGGGTGTTGGGCATTCCCCAAATTTGGGGAGCACCCTCACCTTCCCCAGGGGAAGGCTGCCATGGTAATAAGAAGGGAGCGGGCGTCCCGGGGAAAGGAGACCCTGAAGGAGATGAGATGGAGGGATTTCGGACTCTTGCGGGTAGCCCCAGGTCCCAGCTTGAAAAGATGGAGTCGGGGCAAATAAGCGCCTTAGTCTTTAGCTTCTTGTCCTGGCTCTGCACCAAATTGCTGTGAGAGTTCAGGCAAACCCCTGCTTCTCTCCGGGCCCCCATTCCTCACGGAGAGGAAAGGACTGAACCCCATCTCCCCAGCTGTCCGTGGCGTGAGGCCTCGCCCCTCTGGTCTGCCACAGGATGGGCCTCTCAGCGGCGCCGCGGTGGGGCCCCCCGGGGCTGCTTCTGGCCATCGCCCTGCACCTGGCTCTCTCGGGGCCCCCGCACAGGGACTACTGCGTCCTGGGCGCCGGGCCCGCGGGCCTGCAGATGGCCTACTTCCTGCAGCGGGCCGGGAGAGACTACGTGGTGTTCGAGCGTGCCTTGCGGCCAGGCAGCTTCTTCACGCGCTACCCCCGGCATCGCAAGCTCATCAGCATCAACAAGCGGTACACTGGCAAGGCCAATGCCGAGTTCAACTTGCGCCATGACTGGAACTCCTTGCTCAGCCATGACCCCCGGCTGCTCTTCAGACACTATTCGCATGCCTACTTCCCCGATGCCCATGACATGGTGCGCTACCTGGGTGACTTCGCAGACAGACTGGGCCTCCACGTGCTGTACAACACAACTATTGCCCATGTCACTCTGGACAAGGATCCACAGGCCTGGAATGGCCACTACTTCATCCTGACCGACCAGAAGGGCCAGGCCTTCCAGTGCAGGTAAGGAACCCGTGCTCGAGTTCACCTGCTGAAGCTGGGACTTTTCCCAGCCGAACGTCACACCTTGATTGGCCTGCAGGTGTGGGAGGAATGGACGAAAAGGGGCATTTCTGCCACTCCTGCTCCCACTGAAATTCAATGTTAAAAGGTTTAGCTCAGCTATCATTTCCCAAGTGTGTCCTGAAAACATAGTGGTCGAATATGTTTGGAAAGTACTAACAACTTCTTTCCTCCAGAATTTATTTATCTTTAACAGCTTAGTATTTACTGTGGTGCTCCAGCATAGGGTGAAGCATCAGTGTAAACACAGCTGATGTACCCACAAGTCCTTTCTGCAGAGGTCTTCTTGACTAATGTTACCCAAACTGCATGCTGGGAAATGCTGGGTCAAATGTCCAGCAAGTGTTAGATGGGCCCAGTGAGATTTCAGAACTGAACCAGAGGACTGGGCACAGCGACTCATGTCTGTAATTCCAGCACTTTGGGAGGCTGATCTGGGAGGATCACTTAAGGCCAGCTTGGGCAACAAAGCAAGACCTCGTCTCTTCAAAATAAAATTTAAAAAATTAACTGGCATGGTGGCGTGCACCTGTGGCCCCAGCTACTTAGGGAGTTGAGGTGGGAGGATTGCCTGAGCACAGGAGGTCAAGGCTGTAGTGAGCTATGGGGCACTTCACCCTGTGCAACAGAGTGAGACCCTGACTCAAAAAACAAATCAAAAAAAGAACTGAAACAGAGTGGCCCAACAGACAGTGCTTCCTGCAGTCAGATTTCACTTTATTTGACTGGAAGACAGCTTACTGTTGTGTGTATACAACCCTAAACTTGTTTAATCTTCGCAGGGAACTTATATCCATTTTACAGATGAAGAACTGAGGTTCAGAGAAGTTGAGTAACTGATGCTACGTCACACAGCCAATAAGTAGTGGGGCTGCAATTTGAGCTCATATCTTCCTTTTCACAAAGCCTGTGTTCTTTCTGCCGCACCAGACTGCTTCTCCTTTCCTGGCCACTGGCCTACCACCTGGCTCCAGGCAGGCGCTCAGTCTGAGCTCTCTTCTCACGCCTCTTCCTGAAGGCCCCATCTACTCCTTGCCTGCTACAGCCCAGGGAGAGGATTGGGCCAGTTGGGATTCCTGCACTTTGGGCAGCTGTGCTGCAGTAGAGGGGAGTCAGATGTGAGCGAAGCAGACGGGTCAGAAAGTAAGGCTTGATTCTCTTTTTGCAACCACCTTGTGGTCAAGCCATTCTGCAGGCTAGTAGGCTCCAACCCCCTAGCTGCCCACCCCTGGATTGTAATCCCGGCCAACGCAAGGAGCAGGACTTTGAGATTGGGCCTCTCTGTGTTCAGACTCTAGCTCTGCTGCCCTCAGGAGCTTTGAGGCCATGGCCCTCAGGGCCCACATCTTCTCACCTGAAAAGCAGATCATGTAACACCAACCTAAGATCACCCTGAGGAGTAAATAAGATGACACACAGACACCCATGTGGTGGCCATGATAGTGCCTGTAAAGAGTGACTGCTCAGGAGATATTGGCATCTGTCAGGAAGTCAACAAGGGGAGAGGGGAATATAGGTTTCATTTCATTTCCTAGGATGATCCTTGATCCGACTGCTGTATTCAAAGTGAGGTGAATTACTCAATTTCTGTTGGCATCACCTTTTCCATCAGCACTAAGGAAAATACTGTTGGGCGAGGGTGGAGTCTCTTGGGTAACCTGGGATAGGGCCATAAACAAGTGAATGCACAGGGCACAGTGGCTCACGCCTATAATCCCAGCACTTTGGAAGGCGGAAGCGAGAGATTGCCTGAGCCAAGGGGTTTGAGACCAGCCTGGGCAACGTGGCAAGACTCCATCTCTACAATAAATCAAAAAAATTAGCTGGGCCTGGTGGTACGTGTCTGTAGTTCTAACTACTTGGGAGGCTGAGGTGGATGAATCGCCTGAGCCCAGCAGGTCGAGGCTGTGGTGGCCATGATAGTGCCACTGCATTCCAGCCTGGGCAACAGAGTGAGATTCCAACTCAAAAAAAAAAGTGAATGAATGAATGTACTCCTGTTTTCTTTTAGGAGCCAGCAGTCGGGGTGAGGCAGGTGGGCCCAGGGGGTGATAATTCACTTAGCAGTTTTATAGCTAAGAGATTCAGCCATCTTTCCTCTGTCCCCACCTGCAGTGTCCTTCTCGCAGCCACTGGTTTGTCAGTCCCCAATCAGGTGGCCTTCCCTGGCTCTGAATATGTGGAGGGTTACGAGTCTATGTCCGTGGACCCCAAGGACTTCGTGGGTCAGAATGTACTGATCCTGGGCCGGGGGAACTCGGCCTTTGAGACAGCAGAGAACATCTTGGGTGTCACAAACTTTATCCACATGCTGAGCCGCTCCCGGGTCCGACTCTCCTGGGCTACCCACTACGTTGGAGACCTCAGGTATGTTGCACTCCTTCCTGTGTATTCTGCACTGTGAGCCCAGCATGTGGGAAGAACCTCCCCGACAGCTCTTCCTGACCCCAACTAGGCTCAGCACCCTTCCTCTGAATCTCCTTGTACTCTCTTGGTCCAGAGCCATCAACAATGGGCTGCTGGACACCTACCAGCTGAAGTCCCTGGACGGGCTGCTCGAGTCTGACCTGACAGACCTGGCCATCCTGAAGGACAGCAAGGGCAAGTTCCATGTCACCCTGAAGTTCTTCCTGGAGGAAACAGGTGCCAACCAGAGTGCGGATTCCATCACCCTCCCCCAGGACGACAACGACAACTTTGCCATGCGTGTGGCCTATGACCGGGTCATCCGCTGTCTAGGCTGGAACTTTGACTTCTCCATTTTCAATAAGTGAGTCCAAATGGGGGAGGAGGTGGGATCTCTTAGCAAACCTTTTCCAACCCTTCTCTGGGGGAACACGGTGGCCATTTAGTAGGCTAGTGACAGGGCTTTCAGGATGGCACTCTAAGGATGGAAGTGGGTGCTACCTGGTTTCCCTCCAGGACTTGAGCTGTCTGTCCGCCACGGGTCCCAGATGGCCCTGAGGCCCTCTGTCCTGCAGAAGGGCAGCAGCAGGCCTTCATCTGAGTTGGGAGCCCCCACCCATAAGATGGGAAGGCCAGCTCAAACAGGACACGGAGGCTAATTTGCTGGAAGGCAGTGTCGTCTAGGGACTTGGAGCACAGGCTTTGAGATCGGCCCAGGAGTCCCTGCTTACCATCTGTGAGCTCTGGGATAGAGACCCAGCCGTGCTGTGCCCAGTTTCTTCATCTCTAAAATGGGAGGAATAAACCGGGCTTGGTGGCTCAGCCTATAATCCCATGCCTTTGGGAGGCTGAGGTGAGTGGATTGCCTGAGCCCGCGGGTTCGAGACCCCATCTCTACAATAAATAAAAAAATCAGCTGGGCGTGCTAGCGCATGCCTGTAATTCCGGCTACTCGGAAGGCTGAGGTGGAAGGATCGCCAGAGCCCAGCAGGTTGAGGCTGTGGTGGCCGGAAGCGGCCACTGCCCTCCAGTCTGGGCGACAGAGTGAGACTCCAACTCAAAATAAATAAATAAATAAAATGGGAGGAATAGTTTCTTATATAAGGCTATTGCAAGGATTTATATAAGAAAGAGTTTGGCATGTATTATATGCTCAATGAAATTTGAGTCGCTGAAATTATTGATAGTTGTATTTTGAAGAACTGCTTCATGGAGGCTTGTCTTTGGACATTGGTGCCCAATACCTGGTGCTCTTGGCATCAGAGCAGCCATCCAGTCTTCCACTTGCCTTCTGACCAGGGCACAAACAGGACAAAGAAAGCTGGTGGGCCTGTCCAGACCCTCCCTTCCCAGCAGGACCCAGTCTGAGTTCAGAGCCCAGCCTTGATTCAAACGAGTTCTGGCCGTGCCCTCCCACGTCCTTAAGCTAAGCTTCAGTTACTTCATCTGCTCTCTGGAGATACTGATCCCACCCCCTGGGGTCATGGTGAGGTTTAAACGAGATGAGGACTGTGAGGCATCTGGTGCCAGGCCTGTCATGTGTGCTTCGTACACAGCAGCCATTTTTATTAACAACCCTTTCCACTCAGGTCCCTCAGACTCAACTCAGGGAGTACATTCGGCAAGAAGTACCCACTGGTTCGAGCCAGCTATGAATCTAAAGGAAGCCGGGGTCTCTTTATCCTGGGGACCGCCAGCCACTCAGTAGACTACCGGAAATCTGCCGGGGGCTTCATTCACGGATTCAGATACACAGGTAAGCTGACTGAGAGGGCCACTGTCCCTAGACAGAGCCACCAGCAGCCTCTTCAGGGCTTGTAAACCTACTCCTTATTTCCAGAATTAGGAAGGGATTGCTTGTCAGTCACTGGCTTTCATAAGTTCCCTGTCTTGGGCAGATTACAGCAGATTTTCGTGGTTTGATGCTGTGTCTAGAAAAGTACCAGATGAAGTATAAAAATAGATACCTTCAGGAGTGGTATGTTAAGTGCATAAGGCCCTTGCAGGCTGAATACCACATGTTGACAGGAATGCTACACCTAAAGAATCCTAATCTGGTTCCTCCCCAGCTGGGTGGTCTTTTTTTTTTTTTTTGAGTTGGAGTCTCCCTCTGTTGCCCAGGCTAGAAGGCAATGGCACGTTCATGGCCACCGCAGCCTGCTGGGCTAAGGCGATCCTTCCTCCTCAGCCTTCCAAGTAGCTGGAACTATAGGTAAGCACTACCACACCTGGCTAATTCTTTGATTTATTATAGAGAGGAGGTCTCACCAAGTTGCTCAGGCTGGTCTTGAACCACCTGGACTCAGGTAATCCTCTTGCCTCAGCCTTCCAAAGTGCTGGGATCAGAGGCTTGAACTACTGCACCCGGCCACTGGGTGGTTTTAGGAGGTGAAGTTTTAAGCTCTCCAAGCTCCTGTTGACATCCCTGACATCAGAGAGGTAGCTGAGGTGAACCCTCCACCCTCCTGGATGACCATGAAGCCTAAATTAGGCAGCTCCTGGGCACCACGCGGCCGTGAAGCATCACATACACAGAGACTCTTTGGACACTGACAGAGTTTAATAAAAATTGCAATTTTATAACATCAGTTCTTTTTCAACAGTCTCAGTACTGAGAGTATAAATTTTCTGCCAATTTAAGAATGTTTGCAAACAAAATGCTAAACTACCTTTTAAAAATGTAGTTCTATTTATTACACTAAAATAATCCCCAACCAGAAATTGATGCTTTGCTATTTTAAGGTTAAATGGAAAATAGAAAGCGAGGGAGAGAAATGAATTTATGCATGTGGGAGGGGTCTTCGGTAGGCTGAGCACTGTAAGCATGACCCCAGCCATGTTGCCAGTGCCCCTTTGAGGTGGGTGTGCCATCTCCATTTTGCTAAAGAAACAGCTGAGGCTCAGAGCTTTGGTGAGCTCCTCTCACCATCATGGGGATTGAACTCTAAGATCCAGGCTCTTTCTTTTTGTTGAGTCAGCATCTCACTCTGTCACCCAGGCTGGAGTGCAGTGGCATGTTCATGGCTCACTGCAGCCTTGACCTCCTTGGCTCAAGCAGTCCTTCCACCTCAGCCTCTCAAGTAGCTGGGACTGCATGAGCACACCACCATGCCCAGCTACTTTTTTTATTTTTTGTAGAGACAAGATCTTGCTATATTGCCCAGGCTGGTCTCAAACTCCTGGGCTCCCAAGTGCTAGAATTACATACATGAGCCATGGCGCCTGTCCCCAGACTCTTTCTTAAAAGATAACATTCTGCCAGGCACAGTGACTCACACCTGTAATCCCAGCACTTAGGGAGGCAGAGGTGAAAGGATTTCTTGAACCCACGGGTTCGAGACCAGCCTGGGCAACATGGCAAGACCTCATCTCTACAATAAATCAAAAAATTATCTGGGTGTGGTGACACATGCCTGTAGTTCCAGCTACTTGGAAGGCTAAGGTAGAAGGATCTCCTGAGCACAACAGGTTGAGTCTGTGGTGGCCGTGAGCTTGCCACTGCCCTCTAGCCTGGGCAACAGAATGAGACTCAGACTCAAAAAAAGATTCTACAGGGCAACCCCCTTGGGTCCTCTTCTACTGTGGGAGCTTTTCTATCCTCTCAATATATACTGCTTTAAAAAAAAAAAGATTCTACAAATGTCTTTTTTTCCACAGAAAGCACAAGTATCCCCTTTCCTATCATTAACCTTCTGGGAAGGATAGGAGTTTGTTGAAACTCATTCAGTCAGATGTATAGTGTTTGGTTAGGTGTGTCCATCTGAAAGAATGGAATCCTAATAAACTTACAGCTGAGTATCAGCAGTTTAGAAAATTAGCCAGGTGTGGTGATGCATGCCTGTAGTCCCAGGTACTCAGGAGGCTAAGGTGAGAAGATCACTTGAGCCCAAGAGTTTGAGGCTACATTAAGCTATGATCACACCACTGCAGTCCAGCATGGACAACAGAATGAGACTGTCTTTAAAGAGAAAAGATTGGAAAATATAGTGAACAGGGGGAGTAGTCTTTATATTCTGCCATCCAGTGACATTCAATATTCGTATTCTTTTTTTAAAGACAATAAGGCAGAATTTACTCCGGGGGGCCATGGTGATGGGTATAGGGACCACTTCGGGGTCTTACAGTAGGAGGAGAGATCAAACTCAATTCTACCCATGTTTTTTCCTAAATATAGTCCTTCCCTTCTTTTCCTACTGGGCCATAGAAAGTAGTGTGCACTCATTTGAAACTTTGGAAAATATGAAATAACACAAAGAAGAGAACAAAACTTGCCCTAATCACACCACTCAGAGATATCCAGGTTAAAATTGTGGTTGTTCTCTTATAATCTTTTCTTTCTTCCTAACTTCCTCTTTCTTTTCTTCAAAATGGATTTAAACATTTTTTTGGCATAAAAGGTAAGACGTGTAACAAATTCAGACATGATGGAAATATACATATGGTGTGTTCCTCTGTGGGAGAGACTCCATGTCCAGCCTCCTTAGTGTGGGTTAGAGCATGTGTCACAGTCGTGTGCATGGTCATCGCTGCCGGATGCTGCTTGAGGACAGTCTCCAGCTCCTGTTCCTGTGGTTTTGTTGTTGTGTACACATAAACTCCTGTAAGCAGCCTACCAACCCCTCTGACTCCACACCTGTTTTGGGAAACAGGAGGGTGATAGCAGAAGGTGGCAGCCTCCCCACCCCTGCAGATGGTGGCACCTTGTATAACATGGTAAGCTGTCCGCTGTGTGCTTCACTGCATGACGGGTGTCACACAGGCCAGTTACTTTTGCCCTAAAAACCATCAAGTCCTGTGTCCCCACCCTAACAGCTCTGTGTGTAATCCGATACCTCACAGTGCTTAATGCTAGATTTTGCGTCTCATGATCCTTCCAGTTTGGCAGAGCAAGATGATCTTGTTTTGCTGTTGATTTCCTGATAATATGTTTACACCCCATGCATGTTGTCAGGGAAGGAAACTCGGGAGAGGGTTTTAACCATCTTTAAACCAAAATAATCACAAATTGAATACACACACCAAGAATGTGAGGCGTCTGTTCTGCTGTGTCCCCAGCACTTTGGGAGGCAGCAGCAAGAGGACTGCCTGAGTCCAGGGGTTCGAGATAAGCATGCATGTTGCCCTCCCTATACATACAACCCTGCTTTTTTTTGATTGTTGTTTTTGTTTTTGTTTTTTAGTAAGAGTCTCTGTTGCCCAGGCTGGAGTGCAGTGGCACACTCATGGCCACTGCAGCCCTAACCTGCTGGACTCAGGCAGTTCTTCCGTTTCAGCCACTACACCCAGTCAATTTTTTGACTTATTGTAGAGACGAGCCCTCACCAAGTTGCCCAGGCTGGTCTTGAACCCCTGGACTCAGGCAGTGCTCTCGCTGCTGCCTCCCAAAGTGCTGGGATTATAGGTGTGAGCCACCACACCTGGCAAACCATGCTTTTCAAAGTGGGCCGGACTGTTCCCAGATGGGATTTCATCATATATGTTGTTCCCTGTGTCCAGGCCCTTCCGCACCCTTCTCTAGTTCTATAATTCCTAACCCTTTGGCAAAACTCAGCTTAACCATTGCTTCCTCAGAGAGCCAGGAGTGTAATGCGGCCAAGCATCTTCTTGGGATTATTGGCCCACCAGGTTCCTTTTGTGTGAACTGTCTCTGTGTGTTCTTGCCTTGGTTGGACTTGGATGTTCTGTTGAGTCATTTTGGGAGAGCAGGCGCCTGTGTGTGGTACAATAACTGCACAACTGGGGATACAGAAAAGCGACTCCCTGTTGCTGTAGATAGCCGTGGCTTTGTGTCCTTACGTAAATATGCAAAGAGCACTTGGAGATCGGTAGGTTTTGACTGTGAAGAGTGAGGGTAGTCTGATTTTCATATGGGAGTCTCTGAAACCGGCCTGTCAGGAGGGAAGGGTTTCCAAGGAAGGCCGTGTCTGGCCTAGACATTTCTCTTGAGTTGGGGGTGGCAGGCCTCCCATCTAAAGCAAGAGAAGTTGGGGGGACTCAGCCTAGGGACCACTTCCAGCCATGTCCACGCCTTTGCCTGTCACCGGGCAGAATCAAGCAGGGTCACTGAGTAGTGTGTGGCCTGCAGTGTAGGGACTATGACCCATCTGACCCTCTCCAGAAAGGTCTGCCAGCCCTGCTCTGCTGGCATCTGTGAGCTCCTCCCTCATGTGCTCAGCACCCACAGGCTTGGTTCTACCGATCTCCAAGTACTCTTTGCACAAGTGTGTGTGGAGTCCAAGGGACTGCTGAGGCTTGGCTGTCCTTCCTGGTGGCCACAGGTAAACATAAACACAGTGTCCACCCCTCCTTCTGGCCGTTCCAGCACGTGTTGTGCACCGGCTCCTGGAGCATCGCCACCACAGTGTCGCCTGGCCCTCCACCCAGCTCCCCATCACACAGCTGACCAGTGCCATCGTGCGGCGTGTGAACGAGGCTTCTGGGCTGTATCAGATGTTCAGTGTGCTGGCTGATGTCATCCTGCTGAAGGAGTAAGTGGCCCGTACACCCCTCTCCCACTCTCTCTATCCCCACTCTCCCTCTGCTCAGCTTCCCCCACTCACCCTGCCAAGAGCTTTTCTACCTATTTCAGGTGTGGAATGCCCAGTTGTTCCTTCCTAAGATGAAGCCTGTGAGGGGTGGAGGGGAATGTCCAGGAATGTCTGTTCTGAGGGAAAAACAGTGAAATCAACACTGCAGAGAGACAGGCAGTCCTGGGCATGAACTCTAGGTTTACCACTTTCTTGCTGTGTGACCTTGGACAAGTTAGCTAGTTTCTCTGAGCCTCTCTCTCCTCATCTGCAAAATGAGAATATGGTATCTACCTTGCAGCAGTGAAGGAAGGACTAAAGGTAACTCATAGAAGGCATTTAGCACCACGTAGATGAGCAGTAAACAAGGCAACTCTGAGGATACCAGCCATGTGGATTTCAGAGTTCCCTCAGGCCCGGACCACATGGGTCACGGTCCTTATCAGCCAACCAGTGAGTGGCAGATCACAGAGGACAGACAGTTCCTGAGAAGCAAACAGGGCAGTGCACAGAGGGGTGAAGGGCTGGAGGGGAGGGCACCCAGAGGCCAAGTGGCAGCTGAAGAGTAGAGGCAGCAGCCCAATCTAAAGGCAGGCAGTGCCGCCACACAACAGGCTCAGAGACATGCAAGAAATGCAGCTGCGCTCAATGCAGAAACCCCACCTCACCTTTGATGCCCCACCTCTTGAATGGCACCTACATTCCAACTACAGGCAAGTCCCATCTCCGCCACCTCCAAATTGTGTCTAGAATCTGACCAGCTCCACCACTGTCACCTTGGCCCAAATCCCCAGCACCCTCACCTGCACTGACATGACAGCCTCTCCCCTTGGCCCATGGTCTGTCCTCATAGTGGCCAGAGCAACCCTTAGAAGACTGAGCCACACTGATCCCTCCTCTGCTCAGTGCTCTTGGTGCCAGCAGCTTCCTTTCTCAGTCTAGAGGACATAGGCCCTCTCGTCACAGCCAGCACAACCCTCCTTGACCTGACCGCCTGGACTTCTTGACCCCCTTCCCACCCGCTGCCCCTTGTTCACACCACTCAGCCACGCTGACCTGTTCCTGTTCCTTGAACACAACAAGATGTTAATCCTCCTCCTCGGGGCTCCTCCCTTGCTGTTTTCTTGACCTGGAACACTCTTTTTTTTTGAGTCGGAGTCTCACTCTGTCACCCCAGCTGGAGTGCAGTGGCACACTCATGGCCACTGCAACCTCGACCTGTGGGGCTCAAGCAATCCTTCTGCCTCAGCCTTCCAAGAAGCTGGAACTACAAGCACGTGCCTCCACACCCAGCTAATTTTTTGGTTTATTGTAGAGATGAGGTCTTGCCAAGTTGCCTAGGCTGGTCTCAAACCCATGGGCTCAGGCAGTCCTCTCTTCTCAGCCTCCCAAAGTGCTGGGATTACAGGCATGAACCACTATGCCCAACCGACCTGGAACACTCTTTCCCTGATATCCATCTCAGGACACGCAGTTCTCTGGAATCTGTCCCACCTGTCAATGAGCTCAGTCCTACAGTAATATTCAAGTGAGATGTATGGTGCTGAGCAGAGTCTCCACAATACTTGAGTGACACTTCTCAGAAGGACATGCACACACGTACACCGACGTGTGTGCTCTGACCTCTGTCACAGCGCTGAGGTCTCCCCACGTTGCTGTCCTCCACAGGAATGCCACAGCCTTTGAGTACCTGGAGGAGTTCCCCATGCAGATGCTGGCCCAGCTGGAGACACTCACGGGAAGGCAGGCACAGCATGGGCTCTTTGTTATCAACATGGAGTATGGCAGGAATTTCTCGGGACCCGACAAGGATGTCTTCTTTCATGACCGATCTGTGGGGCACACAGAGGATGCCTGGCAGTCTAATTTCCTCCATCCTGTCATCTACTACTACAGACACCTCCCCACTGGTGAGCTGGTCTCTGCCCTCCCCCCAGGTGTGGGCTCTGTCTACAGTTGTTACCGTTAAGCCTTCACGTAACACCCTCAGCTGACAGAAGGGGGCTGGCTAGGGGACTCTGCCGACAGACCAGACAAGGACAGAAGGTCTGAGAATGATAAATAATGTTTTCAGATTCTGACCACATGCAGTAACCTGTACAGGCCACACGTGGAGTGTCGTGCTCTCACCCAGGTTCCACAGAGTAAGAGGGACATGTCATGCTACCGGGTCTCCAGGATGCTGACGGTGGTGGGGGAGGGGATCTGGAAACTGACTATTAGAAAGTACTGGAGCTGGTTAACACAGTGGAGAAAAGCTAGGTGAAATTCCCAGGTGTGTCCTTTCATCACCTTGTGACCTTGGACCATTACTTAACCTTTCTGAACCTCAACCCTCTCATCTATGAAATGGGGCTGACAGTAGTGCCTTCCCTGCAGGATTGTGTGAGGATAAATCTGCCACTGATCATGATAAATGAACAACCTAGGGAATGCGACTCCCGCTTCAGAACTTGAAGGGCAGTCAGATGGGAGAGGGTGGTCTAAGTAGGGGTTTTCCCAAGGGCAGAGGTCACATCAACAGGCAGAAGTGACAGGGATGCAGAGCTAGAGTCACTTGAAGGAAACACTCATAGCGAAAGCTGCTCAATGTAAAATCAGTCACCTCCAAAGTCAGGTTTCCCAGTGCAGCAATGGCCAAGCCATGTTTGATGGCCATCTGAATGGGACACCACAGAAGGGAGTCCACACAGGTGGTAAGCTGCACTTTGTGAGATGTGAGGCCCCTTTCAATGCAGGACCTCTGAGTTCTCACAGAAAGGCCAGTTTTCAAGCAGCCACAGTAGAGCTCCGTCCACAGGAGTTTTAGAAAGACACCAACTTCAGGTTCTTAGTCTTCATGCTGCCCTCTGAAACCACAAGGGACAGGTCTAGCTTCTATTCCTATGGCATCCCTCCAAATAGCTGGAGGTGTCTGTTGAACAAGCTAGCCATAGAGCGGTGCAGGAGCATGTCGGAAGGCGGGGTGCAAGTGGGTGCGGGAGGCATTTGGGGTGTGTCCCTGTGTGTTGGCTTGAGTGTGAGAAGTCTCTCTGCACTGACGTGGCTCCATCCTCCTCCCCACAGAGCAGGAGGTAAGGTTCCGCCCTGCACACTGGCCCCTGCCTCGGCCCGCTGCCATCCACCACATCGTGGAAGATTTCCTGACAGACTGGACTGCCCCGGTGGGCCACATCCTACCTCTGAGGCGCTTCCTGGAGAACTGTTTAGACACTGATTTGCGAAGCTTCTACGCAGGTAACCTAAATTCCCAGAAGGACAGAGGTACTGAGCTAGAGGTGAAGAGAGTCCACAAAGACCCTTGCTCTAGGCAATTTCAGGACTAGTATCCAGAAATCCAAACCCCAGACTCCTGTTGCTAAAATGTAGTGGACAGCCTGGGCGCAGTGGCTCACACCTGTAATTCCAGCATTTTGGGAGAACGAGGTGAGAGGATTGCCTGAGCCCACGGGTTCAAGACCAGCCTGGGCAACTTGGCAAGACCTCGCCTCTACGATAAATCAAAAAATTAGCTGGGCATGGTGGCATGTGCCTGTAGTTCCAGCTACTTGGAAGGCTGAGGTGGAAGGATCACCTGAGCTCAGCAGGGCGAGGCTGCAGCGCCCATGAGCATGCCACTGCACTCCAGCCTGGGCAACAGAGTGAGACTCCAACTCAAATAAATAAACAAATAAAATGTGGTGGGCCAAAGTCCCCCCCATCATAGCATTCCGAAAACACTGAATAATATGTATTTTTTAGAGAACTGGCAGGGAAACAAGGAAATGCTTCAGAGGCCAGACACTATAAAAAGCACAATGAAAACCACTGCTGACCCGGGCCACCTGCCCACCATCAGTAGCCTAGAGCCTGGGCCTTAATTGACCAGCCCTTGGGCTGGGAAGATGCAGCTGGTACAGGATGGGAGGTCTGTTTAGAGAACTTCAAATAAAACTTGGGTCTCCATGGGAAAGCTAGGAGGCAAAAAACATGCCCCGGAGGGGACAGAGGAGGTGCATGCTTTTTGGCCCTGAATAGAGTTTGGGGGAAATAGCTCTGAAAATTTCCAACCACAAGGTTCCATTTGTATAATTTGGGACTAAACTTCATAATATCATGGTACAAAAATAACAGAAGCAAATGCACATTTTCCTTTGAAAAATGTACTTTTTTTTTTTGAGTTGGAGTCTCATTCTTTTGCCCAGGCTGAAGTACAGTGGCATGCTCACAGCCACCGCAGCCTCAACCTGCTGAGCTCAGGTGATCCTTCTGCCTCAACCTTCCAAGTAGCTGGAACTACAGGCACACGCCACCAATCCTGACTAATTTTTTGATTTATTGTAGAGATGAGATCTTGCCAAGTTGCCCAGGCTGCTTTCAAACCCCTAGACTCAGGCAGTCCTCTCACCTCCATCTTCCAAAGTGCTGGGATTATAGGCATTAGCCATCGCACCTGGCCGTTGTTTTTGTTTTTGTTTTTTTTTTAATTTGGGTTCTAGTACAATCATGGTTTACCACAGCCTCTACCTCTTGGGTTCAGGTAATCTTTCCACCTCAGCTTCCCGAGTAGCTGGGATTACAGGCATGCAACACTATGCCTGGCTAATTTTGTTTATTTTTTGTAAAGATGAGGTCTTGCTATGTTGCCCAGGCTGGTCTTGAACTCTTGGGCTCTAGCTGTCCTCCTGCCTTGGCCTCCCAAAGTGCTGGGATTATAGGTGTGAGCCACCACATCCAGCCTTTGTCTTTTTTTTTTTTTTTAATCTCTGAATGTTTAAAATATCCATTCC